TTTTCTAATATATTTCTGTGGATTAAGTATTTTAGTTAATTCAAAAATGGTTGTTAGTTTCTATTCCAATATGAAAAATGGATAATTAGAACACTAGATAACGGTATAATTATTTAACAATTGAATTATAACAATTATATCTGTAATCAAATATAGACATCGAATGTCTAAAAAACAACTAGGTACCTCATTTACTCCATCTTGCACCTTAAACAAAATAATACCATTCAATCTACCTAGTATGTGAAAATTAAATTTACTTTTTCATTTTAGAAAAAAAAACACTATATTAGTCAATATTTTACACCAACAACATTTTCATTGTTTTTAAATCTTAATAGACCGCTCAGGTTAAGAATGTTATTTTATAAGTTATACTGTACGAGCACTTATTAAATATGTATCATTTTAACTTGACCATATTATACTTACGACAATGGTGAAACGAAAAAACAGCAAAAAAAAAAAATACAAAATGGTGTAATTAATAATGTAATGGGAATTAAATATATATATTGTTTTATATGGAAAAAAAAACTCCTCAAATTATGGAAAATAAGTAAAAAATAGGTACAATAAAGAATTCAACGCATTATATTATGTTTTTGTCGATTTCGGAAATGCACTTAGAAACTCTACTATAATGTTTCAATGATTAATTCAGTTACCTACCACTATAATTCCGCCATAACAATAATAATAAATTTAAATATACACGGCGGTAGCAAAATATTATAAGGCCCTGGAAAAACATCTCTTGGCACGATAAAGAATATTTCGAACGGTTTTTTTATTTTTATTTTTTTATCAAAAGCAATTTAAACGATTGTCACGAATGCGGTGTTCGCATGTTAATGATCTTATCGTCAGCTAGATCGGTTCAGGGCGTCATTTTCACAAACCATAAGCAAGAAATGAACGTTTCGTTTTTCATTTCAAACGCAGTAAAATAAAACGCATTTCATTTTTCCGATATTATATTTTAGTCACGTGAACCGTTCGTATGGCAATCCGTAATGTTTACATCGTCAGGATCTGATGTAAATGGTTACATGTTTGATTGGTGTCGGTTATCGGGCAACGGCAATAACGGAATAGTATCAATCATCACCACTGACACAAAACATTACACTCTTCTTTCATTTTATTTTCTCACAATCAAAGTGTTATTAATAATGGATTCGGGTGATTTATTTGCTAAGATGTGTATATGGGATTCGGTTATATATAAATTAGAATCCGGATGAAATCCATTAATAGTATGGTAAAGCCAATTTCTGATCAATTTTAATTACCTGTGTAATTTAGTTTAAATAATTATGTAATTAAAGAAGGAACAGATAGACACCTTAAAGGTATCACCTACTGAATAACTTTACTCGACCCAATAATTTAACAAATATATAGCAATAGTTCTATACAATAAATAGTAATATAAAATACAGTTGACAATTTGACAATTTGACATGTTAAACTACTATAATTGTTTATTTTTAATTAGCATGTTGAATTAATTTTCACTAAAAAATATAAATTCACTATAATATATTATTATCATAAATTATTGGCAATATTCTAGTATTTGAACTACTAAATTACAACATTTGTATTTTAACTATATAGTTGAACCGTATATGAATGGTATTTAGAAAAAATACAACGGTTGGAAATCTAAAAAAATCCTCGGTAAAAAAAATCCACGGAAAAAGCCACTAAAAGATAAAACAACTTAATTTATTACCTATCTATAAAAATAAATTATTGTAATTGGGTTATATATAATCTTAAATCAAGCAATTATAACAGCAACCAAATGGTATAATAAATAAAAACAAACAATAGGTAGATAGAGAATTATTTTTAAAAAATGTGTCATATATCTTTGCAGAATATATGAATTTTATAGTGATTATGGTTTATAACATAAAATACACATGCGAAGAACATTCGTTATATACTTGCTACTTGCAACTGTGAAACTATTGTCAACATTATGATATACAAATATTTATTAATAATTTGTTTTTTTTATTGTTATTATTAGCATAAATTGATAATTGATGATATCACACTGCCATAATATTATGCAGAACATAACTTGATTAAAAAATAATAAAAGCTAACATTTTCTAATTTTTTCTTAATTATAATATATCGCTCCAAACAATTTTTAACAATTGAAACTCATCAAAAATAACATATAAATTAAATATTTAAGTGTGAGCACATTTTAGTTATTAATATGAGTAATTGATATTAATATGAAATTATTATTTGTATCATTTGAATACCTAGTAAAGGCATTTTATATTTTATTTATTTATTTTTAGATTTGAAATGCTAATACGTTAAAATATAAAAATCATAGGACATTGAACAAGTTTTGGTCATTCGTCTCGCTTGCCTCAGTTCTGTACAAATCAATATTGCTATTGTATATTTGTTATTTAATAATTGAATAAGTTTTAATTTTTTTTTTACCTTAGACAATTATTTAAAACGTGCATACAATTAACAATAATTATAAAGAACAACATAATTTTATTGTATTCGAGAAGATACTTTAGTGATAAAAGCTCTGATAATATATAACTATATAATCATCTAAGACATGATTATAAGTGAAACCCGAAGTATTACAAGATCAACAAATAAAGTTCAATATTATTATAGTTGTTGTTCGGTTTTTTATTTAAATACCTAAAATAACAAACATTTAAGAATATTTTATTTAATCACCTTATGTCGCCCAAATAGTTTTCCGTAGATAATATTTAGAAAACGTGCCAAACCGCCTTTCGCAGAAAACCGTACGAACAGATATTTACACATTTTCCAGTATGAAATAATCGAAACATCTCATCGTCGCCGAATATCATAAATTTATTTAAGATACCACACATGTTTACTTCTGAATATTATATGACGTGTGAATGTGTGTGTTGTACGAGTATAATACGTAGGTAAAATAAGAGGTACTTATACAACGAACATCCCTATATGTCATAGGATAAACATATTCAGTGAAATGGTCCCAATAACTACATTTTAAAAATCATGAGAGACGTAAGTACACTGTCATTCCCATAGTTTTGTCATTATTCGTTGATTTTCGTCGAGGCCTGTAGCATGTTATTACCCACTGACACCTGCCAATATTTTCTGATACCTGTCAACATATTATGCACCCAAAGTCTGGAAATAACTGTAGATATTTGCTACTATTCGTCGATAGCTGGTGATATTTCCAGAATCTTATTGATGTCAATCGAACGACGAGACATTGGCCGATGGGCCACGTAATTTATTCGATTAAAGCACTAAATTATACCAATTATATATGTGATTGGAAATAAAAGAAAAAACTTATGTGACATATTATTTCGTATTTGGATTACGTGGGGAATACTATGGAATGTATATTTTAAAAGATAAGTCGTAGTTTTAATGCAGATAAATGTAGATAATGTAGATTTTATAGTAGATAAAAAACCTGAACATTTCATGATTGAACAACTTTCCCAAGTTGATACCCATTGTATAGAAACGCCCCGTATGTTACTATTATAATATGAGAGTGCAGTGTGCCTAAATTGAATGGTTACATTTTCGGTTTTCTGTTTGTGGCGTTATAAACGACATTGACGTAAACATTATTATACTTCGGCGTTATAAATATTCATCAAAAAGCAACCTACTTACTCGAGTAAATGTTACCGTTCGAAATAACGCCCACGAAACGTGGAACACATTCAGAAAACCACAGAAGTTATAGTTCCAACACGTGAATGTACTTATACTAAGACTTAGTATAATATGGTCTAATATTATTATTATAATATAGTAATAAATAATAATAATAATTCATTAATATTATATTATTAATACACTTCTGCATTTGATAGCTCATGCTGGTCGGTTACTTAAGATGCAGTGGAAAATGTTTTAGATTCATCTACTACAATACGTAATAGTTGGAAGGCAGATATGCAATATGTTAAGTATACTGGAAATTCATTATGAACTAAGCAACGAGCCTGATTTGATTAAATTTCAATTAGTTGATAATATCTCATAAAGTATCATAGGTACTAAAATTGAGGATATATCTAATAACTTTTTAATATAACATAATAATACAATGGTTGTGTAGGTGAATTTTATAATAAAATAGATATTCAGTAAGGTCTAATGAAGACGACGCAGATCCTTTTTTTTCATATGTTTTTTCAAACTGGAAATCATTTCAAAACTAAATTTCAAAAAAATAATACTGTTATCCCATATTATTATCTATTATAAATGTATTATTCAATGTCCACAGTATCTCATTGTCATTGTCCAAAACAGAAAACTTAAGTACAAAGTACGAATATTGCTTCAAAGCTATTAATTGTGGGTTGTCTTCAATGAGGAATTTTGAAATTGAATGTAATTTTCAATATTGTTTTCATTCCACCATAGTGCTATGAACCAGTTCAATATTAACTGCATTAAGTCGACACTTTTGAGAATGTTAATAATTTAACAACGTTTTTTGGTGACAGTTTGCATTTCAAGTACTGATAATAAGTGTAAAATATTATAATGTATCAGTCATATTTGACACGTGTTTTGTTGTGGTATTACAGTAATGGAAAAAAAATGTATTATCAAGTTCCATCGCAACACTTAACGATGACGTGGCTTTCAAACGTACACAAAAAATACATGTATCCATTTTAATAATAATAGCTTCAAACATTTAATTTTTTTTTCTTAAATTCATAAAACTCGAGGAAAAAACGTAATCATTACAAGAAAGCATGGCGCGTAGAACGTATTAACGACATTTAAACGTGTTAAAAACTTAGAATAATTTTTTTTCAAACATTCTTATATTATAATAGTATGATAATTTTTTTTTTCTGGGGGCTGGGAGAATCAATTTTGTGATACTTTGTATGCACTCTTCCACCTCTCCGATTTCACTATAATATATGATTTTCCTCGGATTTCAGATATCGTACAACTGTTGCTGTTCGCTATGCCAGTGGTCATAAGCAGTCAAAGTGGTCGTCCTGCTGCGTGAAATCAGACTTTCAAAAGTGTCGACGTGATCGCACGTGCACGATGAGGCCGTTTATGGGGTTGACACTGCTGCTGGCCATCGGGACGTTCCGTGGCGCCTTATGTTTGCAAAATGGTAAGTAGGAAATCTGTTCCGTTAAAATAATATATACGTAATTAATCATGTATATCAACTATCCATAGACAGATTTAAATATTTATTAGATTTATATACCTACACTATCCAGAGTACAAAATAGTTAATTTACACCAAATGTCAATTTTTCATTCAACAACAGCGTTTTTCCATAATAGATAATATGATTACCTACTCTTAACTTATGTATGTAAAACTTTTTCATGGAAAATCATATCATATAACAAGATACCACTGAATTTTAATATTTTATCAATACATTGAATAGATTAGTATACAATTTTACAAAAATATTGTCATGGTTAACATCGTATTATGTAAATCACACATAATTCAAAACAGTTAGAATAGGAAAAATAGATTTTTGAAATAATGATTGTGATCACTGTAATCACCTTTTATTACATCACTTTTTTTTTTTTTTTTAATAACCACAACATTGAAAAAACAAATTGTTTACAAAAGTAGTAGATGCGTGTCAACACTAGATAATCATGGGGTACTACCTACGTCAAATCACAGTATTGGCAAACGTAGTTATGATACATATTATGGGAAATACAAATATGAACCTTGCGACTATGGACTACCATTTTAATGACTTTTATTTCCGTTGAGTTTTATTATAGTATTGTATCTTAAAAACGACCTTAAGCCGCCGGTAGTAATAGAAAATAATATATTATTATAGTCAATTATAGTTTAAGACGCCCATTGATCTTATCAATTAAGCTACATCATGAAATTTAAACAAATAATTAAATTCAAATATTTAATACTCGCTATAATTAATACTAAACAATAGATAATGGAAATAATTATTATTATTATTATTTACCTTTATTTGAAAATTTTGGTTTACGGAATATAAAAAGGTCGGAATATAGCTGTGGGGGGGGGGGGTAACAAGCACCAATTAAAATAGATTTAAATAGGTACCGATTAAACGTACATTACAGGTGGTCCCGTTTCATTCTCATTCTTGGGTTTTGCATAATTACAAAATATTAAAATATAGAACTCATTAAAAACATATTGATGAATATAATAACTTTAGAGCAATTTTTGTGCTAAATCTATTGCATAACATCTAAAGCGAAGATGATATTTTTGGTGAAAATGACAACTAAGTTTTTAAATAACTTAGGTATTATTTTTAAACTTAAAGGTACAAAAAATAATCCCCTTTTGTTGTTTTTTTAAAAAGCTATGATTTTATTATTTTTAATATTTTGATGACAAATAGTATATAATAATCTAAACAAATATTTTTTACTTGATTATTATTAAGGTGATTTTATACTTTGTGTTTTCTTTTAACCACTGTAGAACGAGAATCACTGTTCTCTATAATTTTGTTTTTATGCTGACAATTTAAAGAACGTGTAAAGTCTTTTTTATAAAAACAATAAAATATATTGGTATAACGATCATCAAATTATTGCACGCAATATAAATAGATGGAAACGTGGGGTCAGTTGTTCCAAGGTTGGCCGAAATTTGATTTGGCGTCCTCGTCGAATTATGTCGACCAAGTTGACAATAATATTATTGAATGGCTCTCACTATTCTTTCATTTATATTATATCCATTTTATCCGTCGATTTTTAATATCCGTCCTGGGTGGAAGGGTGGCTAGGAAAAAAAATACTAAGAGTATCGGTATTAGTTGTACATGAATACGACCGTAAAGTTCAGTCGACCGGAATTTATGACGAAATCCGTAACGGTGCGAGAATTAAAAACGACCGTTGGTTTTTGTTTTATGATACTTTATTGCACGTTTTAAAATAAAATATTACTGCAGCGTGGACTCGTCCCAGGCCTATCCATACACATGAAATAATAACGCATGTTTATTATAATAATAATATTAATGGTTTTTTTTTCTTTTTGTCATGTCAGTCTGACAAAAGAGAAAATTAATTATTTACTCTGGAAAAGTAAACGTCGACTCGGCTGGTCTTATATTATATTGTATAATTTATAGACATAGAATGTGTGTGTGTGAATGTTAAAAATTATATTCACACATTGGAAAAAACCATAAAATTGTTAAAAAATATACAGGGTGATTCGCCAGGCATGCTTGCCCTCATATTTTCCTTTTTAATGATACATTTATTCAAATTCAGATTTTTTTAATTATTAATGTACATCCTCACAGGTCTTTTTTTTTATTTCTTAAATTTTTTTTGCACTGCTTTAGTAGTGTCCTGTGATGATAATATACACTTATATTTTTCAAATGAGTTGCTTTTTTTATTAAGTTATTTAGTTAATAATTTTGATGTAACTTATTCAAAATTCAATTGATTAGTTCCTCAGTTATAAATTTGTTTGTACTAAGGATAATTATAGTTCTTAAAAATAGTTTTACAGAAATATAAAAGTATAACTAGTATTTATTATACTTCGACCATTTTTACAAGTTATTAAATTATTAATGTTGATAGATTAATATTCAGCACTAAAATGTTCAAAATACCATACAACCCATAACTTAAACACCCATTATAATGGACCTATTATCCTTAGCACACATAGTTAACCAACTGAAAAACTAATAGTACGAATTTTGATTCTGATATCTGATACGCTAAAATGTTTAGAAAAATAATAGACTTAATAATTTACAGTAGAAAGGGGAGGTTCTCATTTGAAAAACCAATGTTTGTCTCCATAAGACACTCTATAAAAAGTACAAGAAATATCAAACATTTTAAAATATGGTTTTTACCCTTTAAGTAATTTTAAAAGTTCCAAAAATCATATTTTGAATAACTACATAACTGAAGGAAAAAAGGAGTGAGCGTGTTTCGCAAATCATCATCCTATATATGATTATTTTGTGGATGGAATTTTTTTTCATAAATTTAAGAGGGAAATTATTGAATGCTAACGTCGTTTTTTTACATCAATACCTACATTATTTATCTTTCGGGAAGGTTCTAGAGTACCCCATTATTTCTTACGGCTGACTTTTAGATGGTATATGTGTAAGGGATTTACATGGAAATAAATATATGATAGCAGTCTTGCCACGTCTTGAAATACCCTTTATTTAAGTATGTATGATCTCGAATCCTTAGCCATGGCCACATAATGAACTGCTGTAAACCGTATAAAATAAATTTGCTTCCATAACGCTATAATACTTAATATCTATACAGCTTGAGGTTTTTATTTCACTTTATACAAATTAAATAAATATTACGCATATTCAACAGCCATCTTCTGTATGTAATACATTCCATATAAATGGATATGACGATACGTTATTTAAAGTCCTCCATTTATTATATAAATTCAATTTTACTATAGTTCCTTAAATTCAAAATGATTATTTTTTCTATTATCTACGAAAGTGGCAGACATTTAACAAATATATCTCTCCAAAAATAAATATTTTTTGTATTTATAATTTTTTGCTTGCTCAAAATATCAATCACACTGTAACCGAATTATATCGATTCAGTTAAAAAAAAAATCACATGACTTTTAATCTTATATTGAATTGAAACACCCTTGATATGTTAAAGGATTCCCAGCTAGAACTTGGAAGCATAAAAAATTTTCAAATATCAACCTCATTTCAACGTGCAATTAATAGACAAAACATGGAAGCAATATATTTATTTTTTCATAATTTAAACTTAAGTCTAAATAATTGTAAATAATATTATTTTGTTTTCTAGTTTATATATTTGTATATTTAATCTAAAATTACCAGGATAATAACCACCGTTGTTGAAGCCTTAATAAGTTGTAATAATAAAAAAGACACGAAGATTATTTGTGTTCTTTGGTTAATTTTAATTTAAAAGCTGTTTGTTCGTGCATTTTTAATATGTCCATAAGTTAACAACTTACAAGTCAAAAAACAAACCATTTGCTTTATAAGATATTGTATAATATTGAAACAAGACTAACAAAAACAAAACAATAATATTTTGATCTACCTATCGTCAAAAATTAGGTTAATAGGTTACCTATTTATTGAAAAAATTATTTCAGAAGTATTTCAATGATTAGTTTTTTGTTCAGATATTTTATTATGTACATTGACATTGTTATAATTATAATAAAATAAATACATTGTAATCAAGATAAATAATTTTGTATGAATTCCTCGCTGGACACATTTTTATAATATGCACAATAGCCAAAATTGAAGTATTATAAAAATATTGTACTTTAAATGTATCTCACGGCAGTATGACTGGAAACGTGACGCGTTTTCAGGAAAACATACTACTACATTTTTTTTTAGAAAATCCAGACACCAGATTTGTTCGTTTCCCAACGTTTCATAAGGAATATTTTATCATTTTATTTTAATATAAGGTATAACAGATAGAATGTGTAGGTATAGAGTGATTTATGTTATTTTGGAGCGGGTGACACACGGACCTGAACAGTTTAGGTCGGGCACAGGTTTAATCCCGGTCAGGATTAAATGGTCCCGCTCAGCGACGTACAAGTTTTGATTTAATACGGTTTGCGTTCGCTTTCTGTACCCTGAACGGACCTTATACCATCCTATGTGGTTGACGAGCGAACAATTACGTAGCAAACGATTCACATTCAATATAATATAAATATTATGCATCATACGGTTATTCTATAAAATACTTAAATCGTATACTCAAATAATTGAGTTTTTTTCCCTGTTTAACCGACAGCAGAGTATGCTCCGTTTTAACAATACTACTTCTCTGCTGCATCGTTTATTGGCGAATAAATGTAAGTACACAAATATTCGATTTTATAATAATATAATATAAGCATAATGTTCAGCTCTGAAGAAAATGCATATTTTGAAAATATTTTACGGTTTAATTAGATTGTTATCGATCATGATGTAAGTTTTATGTAATATGCCAAACAAACATAATATTATATAAATAAATCGTTTTTAGCTATGGAACAAATTTAATTATATTTTTTTTTAGTATCATGTCTTAAATTTAGAGCTT